GACCCAGAAAAGGCCCTAATACACAATACTATATGTATTATAAGTCACATATTGTGGAGGGAGCGCAGATACCTTCAGCTGTTAGTAATGGCTGCTCACCTGCGTTCCCTCTCCTTACTGTTGTGTCTCTCCCGCCGCTGGCTGAGTGACATGTGCGATCGAGCTCTTTTCCTGGTGCTGCTGGCTGACTCTCCAGCGGAGTCTTGGGCTGCCTTGACGGTTTGCGAGCTGTGGGTGCCGGCATGTTTCCTAGAGGCAGCAGCAGGGGTCGCCACATCGTCTATGAAAAAGATGAGAGTGAAGACACAAAACGCAACCGTTCATGTATCCGTACAGGAGACGACAACATAACTCAACTTTAGACGTCAGATTGTTCAGAGTGCTGATTCTTACTTTCTATGTTCACCAAGTGCTGCTCCTCTGTTGGGTTGCTGCCACTTGTATAGTGAGCTTTTGTAACAACCCTCTCCGGGCGGAAGTTAAACGAGAAGCCCTTGGGGATGATTAAACCTTGATGCTTCGGTTCAACCATGTGAGGAATATGGCCAATCACCTGTGATTAAAACAGGAGAAGAAAAGGTCGAATAATTAACTCCATCTACGGCTCCTACAAAGCTGTAAGAAAGTGCATTTAGATTATTTTCTTTCAGCATACTTGTTCACACATGTTGGTGACTGGGTTAAATACCGGTACACCCCCTACAAACGGGCTGGAAACCTCAAAAGGATTTGCTCTTTCAGTTTTCATCCACTTCTGCATTTGGGGATGCATGGCGGCCTCTTGAGCCTCAGCAGACTGCTGAAGCATTGTCAAAAAACTGAAACACAACAGAGATGTCATTAAAAAAATGTGTACAACAGGAGCATTATGGGGATAACAGACAGCAACACAGTGTGTGAGTGAAACCTACTTGCTAAGAACGGCAGACTGAATATCTTGCTGTCTCGGGGTGTCTGTAGGCATCGTGCTAAACCTTTTCTCCAAGCAAACTCTGGCAGCTGATCGGGATCGCTTTTGTGAAGATACGCTGCTGTTGGTTCGCGATTCAGTGGGACTGTCTTCGCCTCTGACCCTGGCGAGCACAAAACCCGGGACCTCTCCGTAAGAAGCTGGCGTCTTCTCCCCTGGCATCACCAGACAGTGCTCATCCGTTGAAGTCGACAGATCAATAGCTTGGGTGGTTGCGAAGGGAGAAATCATTGTGGATCCGTCTTTAACCATCACTGTAGCAGGGTGGGATCTGGCATCTGGCCCATCTGGAGGTGCGGCCTCCATTTGGGCCTGGATGAGGTGCTGGAGGTGTGTGTACTCGACCTCTGACATCTCCATCATACCCAGCTCGGTTCCCAACATCTGCCCCTGTTCCTGTGCTGAACATGCACCTTGGCTGAAAATCACACCAACGCACTCACAGGTGTGTTCTTTGAACGAAGGTGAAACGTGGATGGTTTTACAAGCTGAGGAAAGCGATGACATACTTCACTCTAGAAGACGGGATTATAAGAGATCATAAAAATATATATTTTTTTAAAAAGTCTATACATTGCCACCAGAACAGAGCATGTAGCCTCAACACATGTTAACCTTTAAGTTAGCTAAAGTTAACTTGCTGCGTCACCGCGCAAGTGTTTAAATTATTCAAATTAATATCTCTGAACACAGCATAAATAATAATAAATAAAAAAAATAACACAATTAAACAATTTATCCACAACTTCCTAAGATTTTCGCGGTTTTTATAAATAGTCCGTAATTACAACAGCTAGCTCGTGAATTTAGCGAACGAGGAACTTTAAGCTAACGGGCAGAGCAGACGTTGGGCGTACGTTAACGTCAAAATGTGATTTAAAACATCGCCAACTTCCAGCGATACGTTATCATAAACGCCACAACAGTTTCTGAAGTCAATTATAAAGTCGTCTAATTTTTAAGGGGTGGACATTAAATAAGCTGCGGTTATAATTAAGCTCTCTTTATGGGCCTTACTGTTTTCATGTAAACTCCGTCGGACCGTCGGTAGTAACGGACGTTGGCGTTCAACTCCCGGACGTCGTTTCAGTCTCTGGCTCTCACAGCTGAAGGGTTACTCAAATGTCACTTTTTATTTTGTACAGACAAAAAATAGACCGAGACACTATCCGAAAATGTCACAAACAACCTTTTTTAAGTAGTTTTACTCAAGTGCTTTACTTAAGGAGGAGTTAAAATGCTGGAGGATTGTTTTCTAGTTTCATTAGATGCAGTTGTCTCCACTACATTAACGTTTCAGATGGCAATATTGAACTTTAATCCATATATTATATAAATAAATATCATTCAGTGTTGTAAACAGTGGTGGAAAGTACTATATGAATTTCCCCAAGGGGATAAATAAAGTTATTATACCCTATATTGTGATTACTGTTATTATTATTATCATTAGTAGTAGATTTACTCAAGTACTGTACACTACAAATTTGAGGTACTTATACTTTACTTGAGAAGGCCATTTCTGTTTTGTACTGGATTACTTTTAATTGGTAAGATAGATATAAGATATATTAAACTCCCCCATCAGAATCAGCTCCACCTCATCAACTACTAGAATAAAATGTTAATTACACATGAATACATCCGTAATAATAATACAAAAAACAATAATAAAACACTCATAGGGGTTTACAGCATTATGCGTACTATGAGTACTACTTACTATTCATAATAATATTATAATAATATTTACTTGCTGATAACACTTCTGCAATTTTACCTAAGCAATATTTTATTGGGGACTTTTACTTGTATTGCTTTAACTTAAGTAGAAGATTTTAATTATTTATCCACCCCTGGTTTAAACACTATCCAAAATTACATGAAGTAGTTTTGCTTAGCTATAATACTGTAATAAGCTATAATATGAGTTATAATAATATTTATTAGTGTTTTTACATTAAGGCTGCTAATTACTTCTTCCGCTACTGTTAAAAAGTATTAGATGGAAGGTTTTTACACATCAAGATATGTTTGCAAATATCCCAACAACCTGCAGAAGCTTAACCACTGAATATGACCAGACTAGAAAACAACTATTAAAGGGTTATTCCATAGTTTTCCTACCATTGTGATAGTCATGACAGTGAGGATGGAAAAGAACAGCTAATAGCTCACGTGGCTTCATGTATGGCTGTGTGGGGTCATGGAGTTGAATTTAGTAGGAATATAAAACATCCCATGATAAGGTCAGCAATCCGGGTCAAGGCTGGGTAGAAGTCACATTATCATTGATGTGTATGTACAGGTGAGACTACATTAGTCCAGCCCAATCAATATGTGATTTTTCTTTTTGTTAATATTACATAATTTGACTACTTTCAGCATTAGTATTAATCACATGGTTGATATTCCTTATTAATATGATAAATACATATGATTAATAAGAAAAATCAAAAATAATAATGAATGTTAATAACTGTGCAGCACTGGACCAAATTGATAATAGTACATTATTAGTATATATCTACTGCTTGGTGAATGTTGTGATGCCTGACTAAGAACTAAAGATTCAACTGACCGTTGTCTCCCCCCTTTGGTAAGACATGAGCTTTGCACGTGGATGTGACTGATGGACAACATCACTATAGGCAGACTCAGACCTCTACTAGAATAGCTTTTTTTTCCCCCCAAGGACTTTCTCTCACTTTCCTATTGTCTATCTCTATCTCCTTGTCACAGCAAGAGTCCTTAAGACACCTGAAAACTAATTAAAAGGTAGTGCTTATAATGTGCAAAATAGACTACATTACAGTGAAAACAATACAAGTCACTCCAAAACAAGGCAAACTATGGCCCTTTCAAGATTAAAGATTTTATGGCCCAACACTTTGCATGATAGACAAGTTTAAACAATGTGCCAAAAGAATTTTCCCTGGAATAGGGATTGTGTCAAAAACAGTTAAGCTCTATTCACTCTGGCTGGCACTGTTTTAAACTAGGGCAGGTAAAACCCAACTGAGGCTGGTCAACATTTCTAAAAAGCATTGAGAGTACAGAGGTTCCTATAACAACACATTTGTTTTTCTGTCTTACAATACTTACTATTCAAGCGGAGTACAGAAGAACAATTTACTTATTTAAAGGTACTAGAGTATTCATATTTTATGTTACTTTATATTTCTACTCCAAAACATTTCATAGGCAAATATTGTACTTTTACTCAACTAAATTTTTTAGACCTCTATAGTTAATTAGCAGATTAACATACAGTATATGTACAGTATATGATTAGCTAATAAGATTATATGAATTGTTATAGATTACTTTTCAAACCACAACCAGACCAAACCAATAACATGTACACAAACCTTTTTTCCCTGTATAATCAATGTCTGTACTCATGTTGCGATCAATATAAATATTGATGAAAAACTCAAACTAAACACAAATTAAAAAAGGTATGTCATTTTATTGACTTCTTGCATTCTAAAAGAACAATGAAACAAGCCATTTTTTAATCAGCATAAGAACATTAAAGCCAGACAATGGCTACCGTACTGACACTATGGCTATGTTAAAAAATGATGAAACAAAAAGAAATGTACATTTTCTGTACAAAACATGTCTACTAGACTATTTCAAACTATAAATACATATCAAGTAGCTGAATTTACCAGTGATCAGTTAAGATGCATGTTGTCATAATCAAATAACAAAAATAAACACATCTACTTTGAATACATTAAGACAAACTAAAACATAATGAACTCAAATACCTCTGAGCATATCAAGCCATGTCTGATCTTTCATAAGGCCTTGCCTGTAGGTCGTGTTGAAATTTAAATAAAACATGAACAGTCACTTCCCAGTGTGTGTTAATGTGCATTACGCTGTAATATCTCAATCCAATATGACAATATTAAGCATTTTTGTAGTCCATCAGCCTAACTGAGGGGTTTATGAATGAGTCTAACTTGGCTTGACATCACTGTCCATACTTTGATTGTTTTTAGTTTCCTTGCCCTCTTCCTTTTTTTCTTCCACACCCCTTGTACCTGCATCTAAAGATATGCTTAGACTTTTCTCCTGCTCCGGTCTATGCTCTTTGACCAATTCTTTTTCTCGATTAAATGGTCTACCTCTACTCCACTCCCTATCTGTTGGGTGACCTTTTTGTTTTCGTTTTGGACTGAAGACATCAGGATTGTTGATCATACGATTTGGAAAGCGTATAAGACCTTCTGTTGGAGTGGGAAGTAAGGCAGCTCTGTGTCTCTGAGGTTTTACTGCTTGTTGATTTTGGAGTTTGTTAAACCCAGGACATGAGTTTCCTCCACTGCTTTGAGCTGGACCTAGGGGCCCACTGTTCGGTGCAGAATGTGGATCACAAGGGCCTTGGAATCTGGCAACTTGATGAGGACTATTGAAGTTATGTAATGCTGGCTCTGATCCCCTTGAGTCTAACCCTAGGCCCTCAGTGTTTATATCCCACTCCCCTGGCCCATGTCTTATATCTGAGCTTTCAGGTGCTGAGCCCATCATATGCGTTTTACCCAGCCCTAACCTTCTCATGTTTGGACCTCTCCTTTCCCTCCCAAAATCATGCTCAAATCCATGTCTATCTGTTTCTGGGTTTTCCATGTCCACACCTTGCCTTTCAGATCCTAGGTCCCCACAATCTGAAAACCTCCCATCAGTCCCTGGACCTTCCATGTTTGGATGTCTATTTCCAGGTCCTGGGCGTCTTAAATCTGGACCTCCTCTTCTATCAAGACCTTCCATCTCAAACCCTCTTCTGTTAGGGCATGAATTCATGTCTGGACCTCCCCGATGAGCCCTAGGCCCTTCCATGTTTGGCCCTCCCATATTACTCCTGAAGTTTGGCTGCCTCCAATCATTCCCCATATCTCGACCTCCTCTCATACCTGGACTTCTTCTATCATGGCCTTGTCCTCTATTGTCTTGATCTCTTTCCCTTCTGAAAAACGGAGCAGGCCCCCGTCTATTTGGCCCAGCACCCTTTCTATCAGACTCTCTCCATTCATTTCCAGGTCCCCCCCTACTAGGCACTGGGCATGCCATATCTGAGTCATCTTGAACAGGCCCTGGACCCATGGAATCAGAACCACTCCAATCATCTCCTGTACCTCTCAAATGTCCTGGGCTTTCTTGGATAGGTTTTGATCCTCGGAAGTGAGGACCTCCCCAGTCATCTCTTCTATGTCTTAGACCTTCTGTATTTGGACGTTTTTGTCTGGTGCATGGGCCACCTGATTTACTCCAATCAGTTTCTTGGCCCTCCATATCTGGACCCCTGCTTTCAGGACCAGGTTCCCTAAAGCCTGGGCCTCCTGGTAGTTGTCTGTCAGGCCCTGGGCCTAGTCCTCTAAAATCTGGACCTCTTGGACCTTTCCTATTAGGCCCTGGACGCTCCATAACTGGAGGTCTTCTTTCTGCCTCAGAACCCCTAAACTGAGGGCATCCTGGAAAGCCCCTGCTGTTGTTTGTTCCCTCCATATCAGGTCTTATTTCTGGCCCAGGTCCTCTGAAATTCGGACCTTCTGGACCCCTCCCCCCAGGCACTGGGCCCTCTATATTTGGACCTGAATGCTGAAGCCCTGATCTCCTCATGTTTGGACCTCCTGACCCTCTCCTGTTGGGCCCTGGACCCTCCATACCAGAATCTGGTCTTTCTGGCCTTGGTCCCCTGATGTCTGGACCTCTCCTGTCAGGCCCTGGGCCATCAATATTTGAATTTCTACTTTCTGGCCTGGAGTCCATGAAGTGTGGTCCTCCCTGTCCTCTAGTGTGAGATTCAGGACCTTCCATACCTGGACCAGTTTGTTCAGGCCCCAGTCTTATGAAGTCAGGCCCAGGACCCCTCGTATATGGCCCTTCACTGTTAGGACCTAGTCCACCTATGTTTTGATTTCCTGGCCCTCTCCTGTCAGGCCCTTGACCCTGCATAGGAGGACCTCTCCTTTCATACCCAGGCCCTCTTATGTCTGGACCAACTGGTCCTCTCCTGTCAGGCCCTGGTCCACCCATGATCAGACCTCTCCTGTCAGGCCCTTGTCCCTGGAATTCTAGACCTTCTGGTCCTCTCCTGTCAGGCTCTTGAATGTCCATAGTGTGACCTCTCCTTCCATAGCCTGGTCCTCTGAAATCTGGACCTCCTGGTCCTCTCCTGTCAGGCCCAGGACCCTCCATTGAAAATCCTCTTCTTTCAGGCCCCGGTCCCATGAAATCTGGACCTCCTGGTCCTCTCATGTCAGTCCCAGGACCCTCCATAATGGGACCTCTTCTTTCAGGTCCTGGT